CCGCCACAGAACGGGGCGGGCGGCGGGGGAGGGGAGCCGGGGTCGGTGCGGGGCCCTGCGGCTGCCGCCTCCGGGACCCTCCGCCGCGGCCTGCGGCCGTGACAGGGCGGGGGCGACGCGGCCGGTCCCTGTCACAGCGCCCGCTTGCTTGCCGCTTCGGTCCGCTTCCCAGCCCCTCTCTCTGTTTATTTCTCTATTTGTTTACCTGCTTGTTTTATTTTTTTTAAAAAATTTCTCGTCAGCCTGTGTGCCACCGCTCAGTGTGGAGTCAGTGTTGCGAAACTGCCGCCCGCCTGACGCCTGCCTTTCCTTTTTTTTAGTATTTTTTCTCCCCCCCCCCCCAGCAATATGAATTCATCTTACTTCACGTAACCAGCTCCTGCAGCAGACTGCCTTCAAATCCGCTTCGGATAGCGTGTGGAATCTTAGAGGGTAGTGGCACCTTGTTATTTAATTGCTCTGAGGAGACGGCGCAGGCGGTTAACAGTTTGAATTACGCCCTTGTACACTTCAAATACTACTTTTCGTTAGTGACTAATTGGTAGTTCACCTCTTCCACTTTAGTTACTTCTGCCAAACCAGGTGTGTGTGACGTGGCACGTATGGCACTCATCTCGCCTGTGCTTCAGGGCTCCTTACCTTTTTCTTTGAAATCACGGTGCTGATTCGCACCGGTTTTAAGAAATTTTTCAAACGCTTCAGTTACATTTTCCGGGTGGTGTGGAAAGACACAGAGCGTGATCTCTAAATTAATTATATTGGCAGTGAAGTGTAAACCATACAGGCTGTTCTGGTTTTCTTTTATAATTTGACATCAGGAAAGCGAGTCCCCCAAAAGATGAGTGGGTGGTGGTTGGAAGTTGAACCCCCCAAAAATGCTGTAGTAATACTGCATCCCAGGTATGTTATAGGGAAATTAATGTAGTAATATTTTAGTTATTTGCTATCCCTCTTTGTTACAATTGTATTACCACCATCAAAATATAAGTGATGGGTAAATATATGGGGTTTTCTTGGCAACAGTTCAAAATATAATCACTTCATAGTATCCTTAACAGCCTGCATGAACAAATGTTATAAAAATGCTGTAACTAAGTTCTTGCATTTTGCTGCTGGGTAATTTCAATTTCTTACACATATGGCACTTTAGAGTCTCAGATTATATTTTCAGCTCTGTCACCTTCTGTGTAGCCTAACACAAATGACTCCAATTCCCTTTCCAGTCTCTGTCAAAGTCTATTCAGATTAGAATTTTTTCTAGGGCAGAATTATCTCCTAAATGGAGATTTTAATGCTTGTTTGTCTACTGTCCTCTGGATTTGAATTCAAAAATTATACTGTCAGTTATTCTTGGTTTTCCCAGGTATGTTTTGTTTGATTTTCTGGTGCTGGTTACCGGAGACGGTATGAATTTTTGCTGTTGCAGGTTTAATCTAGACCAGCTGTTATAGAATTGAAATTAAAGAAGATGTGCTTTATGACATTGAAACCCCCAGAAGTTAATGGTTTTTCTCTAAGAATCAGTAATATTTTCATATTTCCATGCAAAGATTTGGTATGTGGAGGTGCACTGCAAGGAAGAATTACATCAAAGATGTGTTTTAGCTGTTTTTGTGAAAGCTGGTAACATTTCTTAATGTTACAAGACTTTGCACATCACTATTAACACAAGTACTTGTATGAAGGCTCACTGTGGCTTCACAGCTAAAATACGATATCTGTCCTGAGTATATCTCAGAAACACAGGGCTGAAATGGGGTATTTCCTGCAAATGCAGCTCTGCATCGGCTTTGGAAGTTGGGATCCCAAGGCAAACCGTTCTGGCGCAGGAGGAGCAAGGACTGGAAGAGGGGAAGAGAGATGGAAACAGGAAAAAACCAAGGTGCAGGAGGACTTGGCCTGAGCAGACAAGAGGACAAGAAGTTGAGTAGGGTGTGGTGGAGAGGTGATGTGAGAATTGCAGAAGCAGAGTAAGTGCCACGGTGGGAGATAAGAAACATCTTTCTCAAGCAATGAAGGGGAAGGCAGGGCTGGCTGGGTGAGACGAGGGTGAGAAGCCCAGGGGGAGGGAGGAAAAACTGAAGGTAGGTCAGGCAGGAGTAAGCGTGTAGAAGATCAGGCTTGCAGGAGGGAGAGGGAAGGATCTTCGCTGCCTTCCAGAGCCTGGAGGTTCTCAGACCTGGCTATATTTGTCAGTACATGTAATTACTCATTTCCTCAAGCAACAGGGGCCTGTGCAAATGCTAAGTTTCTGTGCTTGCAGAAGAATTATATAGGTGTCAGTATGATACCATAGGATAGAATTTCGTGTCCAGTTATTTATTCCATTATTGTTTTTAAAATGTTGCAAGAAAAGCAAAAAGGAGACAAAAATCCCAAATTAAAAAAAAAAAAGAAAAATAAGAGAGATTTGTAAAATCAAGCACCTAAATGAGGAGATGCTGTAAAGGTTGTCAGTGAGATTTCACTTTTGTGAAACAGTGATGGTTTCTTTGGCAGATCTAAGGCAACGTGCATTTCTCTGGCTAGCGGCAGTGCTGTAATATTAGTAGCAATGTCCTTCCCGATTGTGCCAATGTACAAGAAATACAGGGATATTCTCAATTAATGACGGGCATTAAAATGCCAGGATTTGTCAGTCACTTTGTTGTTTCCAGCAGTCTGTACCAGCATGCACAAATGGGAGCAACTGTGGGAAACTTCAGCGGAAAACAGGCAGAGATTTTACAAAAAGTTGGCCGTGGAGTCACTTCCTGTGCCAAATCAGCCCCGCCTGGTGCTGACACCCCTTTCCCAGAGACTGGAGCAAAGGCGAGTCTGTACTGGAAAGGCAGTGAACGACAGCATCACAAGACAGGGCACTGAAATGCAGCAGCACCGTGAGGGAAGAGTAAATAAATCAGGCTGCTTAGAATATTTTTATTTCATGTTTAAACGTGTTTTGAAGACTGGTGGATGTTTTAGAATAAGAGCATTTTTATGAAGCATTCCACAACACAGGTCTTCAATTAGTAGGTAAGAGCTCATAATAGACATCTCAAATATCTGTGACATTACCCAGCACAACCAAGAAACAGTACTCTCCAGCTACTACTAATTTGAACTAAAATAGCAAGCAGAAAGAAGCTACGTCTTTTGTGGTGACAGTGCAGGCGAGAACCCAGCTCCCGCATTAAAAAAAATACAACCAAAAATAGGAAAAAAGCCCTTTACAGATCCTAAAGGCTAAGTTAAAAAAAAAAAACACTCAGAGTTTAGATAGGAAAGTATGCAAAAGCGTGCATATAGAAACTATTTTCAGTGGCAGTTGGCCCTTCACAGCACTTTTGACAGTAATACTAGGTTCTTATTTTTGTGCTTTATAGCCCAAAGTATGTTCAGTAAGCAGTCTGTTTTAAAAATAGGCAGTCTGTTGAACTATGGTTAGGACACCATTTATGTCTATTTTGAAAATACTTCCCAGTACTTAACAGATGGCTGCAATTTTGGAGCTTTCACTCGGGGCCTGCAGCAAAGCTTTGTGTTCTTTCTGAAAATACTGAAACACATAGAAAAGACGTTTCTGGGTTCAAGTCAGGGGGAGGTTATATTAGTGCAACCTAGGGTCACTCAGTGCTTAAAAGGCAGCTAAATGTTTTGCCACTGGACTTCAGCTGTCCTTTCCAGCACACATATGCACATGCATGCTGTAAATCCCGGGAAGCACGATAAACTGCTCTGTAGTTAGCAATAGGGTGAGCAAAACTCTCTCAGTGAATAGGTTTTTGCCAAATTTATAGATAAGCATCAAGTCAATGAAAACTACTTTTATTTTTATAATGTATCCAAAATAGTTTTGCCTGAAAACAGTGAGTTGTTTTGAAAGTTGGGCTATTTTGTTTCAACAACATGTTTTAAGATTCTGCTATTTTTGAAGATTAAAAACAGCTGAGAAACTAAATTATTTTCCTCCCCCCCCCACCCACCCCCAGCCAGTTAATAAAAATATCGGTTCTCCACATAGTTCTAATCCTTTGTGACATTTTTAGGGTAGCATGGTAGTTTCTGAGAAATGATAAACCAAAGGGTTTGCTTTGGATTTTGATCCTTCACTTTGACTTTTTGAGTTTGCAGATTTTCACTTGTATGTGTCACTACCCACTACTTCAGACAATGGGTTTACAGTCTGGTACAGTCACAAGATGGGAAAGTTCCCTGCTTTTCTACTTCCATTGAAATATGTAAAGCTTTTAGCAAAAGCCAGATAATGGTTGTTTCAGTTCTGTCCACTGCTACTCCAGATTAAGAAAAGTGTGCTGGTTTTAAGACTATGGTTTGCTTGGAAATCTTCAGAGATTGTGTGGGCTGCCATCCACCAAAAAGGTGATTTTGTTATAATGTGCGGATCTGGGAAAACAGTTTGTGTGAGAAAATAAGCAAACAAATCTGGGGCAAGGAGTAACACGTGCTTTAGTAGCCATTTTCCACCCTTCCCTTACTGACTGTTGTTGCGTTGACTCATTAAAGTCACTTGGGTTGCCAGTGTTTGCTGGTTTCTCTGTAGCTTGACGATCTGATTGATTCCATGTTGTAACTCTGACTGCACTGTTACTCTGACAAGGAACACAAATTTATTTGCTCACTGGATTTACTAATTCAGTTTTCCAGGAAAACCCATATAATTCATTTTTTTTCTTTAGAATTAGAGTTAAGTTCCCACTGGGGCAAAGATACAAGTCTGTGGAGTGTTAAAAGTTACTGAATTGGATTGTAATGTAACTGTAAAACTCAAACGCTCTTTTATCTTAGTGCTTTGTTAAATTTCCTTGGAAATG